CTGGGAGGAGACCCCGGGGAGGACCCAGGACACGCTGGAGAGACTACGTCTCTCAGGTGGCCTGGGAACACCTTGGAGTCCTCCCAGAAGAGCTGGAAGAGGATGTGGAAAGAGACTTGTGGACCCCCCTGCTCAGGATGCTGCCCCCAAGACCTGAGTCCAGAACAAGAGGAAGATGATGGATGGATGGATGGATTAATACACTTTGTGTGATGATGTCACTCCATAACTTCTTCACAATCTTCAGCCCAGAGTGTTTCTGCTGCAGGACTGATGGTTCCTCTCAGAGGTCAGAGGTCAACCCCAAACTCCCGCTGACTTCCATCTTATCTGACTTCTCCATCAAGCAGAACCTGTGGTACCATCAGAACCTCCTGCTGCTCACAGGTCAAGAGGTTCTTCCAGTTTTCACAGAGACTGAGCCTTACTTTTTACTCTGCGGCTCTGTAAACCCAGTTTAAACATCCAGCAGTTGACTTCTGACGAGACTCGACTTCCTGTCGGGCTCCAGAGCAGACGTCAGGCTGTGGTTGTCCTTCAGCGTCTCCGCTCACGTTTTACTTCACGTGTTCCACTTTTCTTACAAAACTCGGACGTTTGTCTTTAAACGTTGAGTGAAGCTGCAGCGGAGCCCTCGAACTGCTGAGCCTTGTTTGGTGCGAGTCTCTGCAACGATGCGTTCGGATCAAAATAACGGGCTGTTCTCTGCAGAGGCCTGGAACAATGAGCGCTCTCAGCCGTAAAGCCCGAGCCCTGCAGAGTAAAGCCTCCACGTGCGAGCCAGGCTGGACACCTGTCGGCCGACAGCAGCGCAGCGGGACCAGAGCGTCCCAGAATAAATGATCGTCTCACTGCAGCTGAACGGAGACGCCACTGAAACCCACACATAGTCCCCTAAATCCCCCGCCGCCGCTCAGAGGGGCTGCCGGCGCCCACCACTCTTAACCTCTTCAACACTTGGACGAAAACTGAACGGCAGCAGGATCTGAAGTGTTCACAGAATCATTTCAAAATAAAAGGCCAGCAGATGCAGGGCGTGGATTACCTTAACCTTAGGTCAGGAAAGACCCGGACTAAAACCTGACGAGGAGGAGACCAAGTCAGGAGGAGGTTCTGCTGTCTTAACAGTACGGGGTCGTCCTCGTGACACTGCAGGCGCTCCAGAACCCGTCCCCTCTTCTTCCTCAGCAGAATGTGGTTTTACGTCGTCCTGGTAAAACATGCGGTCCTTGAAGGCAGCAAACCCAGTCCGGCGCAAGCTGATGTCCTTACCTTTGACCCTGGAACTGTGCTCCCCGAACATTTCAGCTTCTGACCCCAAAACATAACAAGAGCCAAGACTTGAGACCCCGGACGTCCTTGATTTGACCTCACAACTGCTGGTGAAAAACCCAATCGACAGGCACGTTCCCGGGCGTCCAGTCATTCTGTCAATAAAGCAAGAATTAAATCATCCGTTCGCTTTAAATCTGTTTGTTTTGATGCTTTGAACCAACAAACAAACAGAGCCCACGTTGCATTCAGAGAAATTACATTTCAACATTTATTTCCGTACAATAAAAGTAGAGAAACAATATTAAAAACAAAAGGACACATTATGCCTCCTCTTGTGTACAAATGTTATCGCGACATCCTGACTTGATAAATCTTTATGCTTTTCAAAATAAAACAAACGTTGACTGTTTTTCTTGTTCCCTGAATGAGCGACATGTTGCTGCTCCACGTGGGTCCATTCAGAACCAGTTCTGCTCAGACCAGTTCTTCATCTAATGCACATGTGTCAAACTCAAGGCCCGGGGGCCAAATGTGGCCCTCGTTGATATCTTATCTGGCCCCCAAGATGATTTGTGAAACATAAAATACTTTTTTCACTTGAATTTTATTCAGTAAACTTTGATTATGATGTCAAATGTGCAACAGAGAACATCAAATGAGACCAATCAAACTCTTGTTGAGGAACCTGTAACCAAGAAAATATGTCCGGTACCTTGACTTGAGTTAATGCAGATTCTGAAATAGGCCCTTAGTTTAAAAAAGGTCTTAATTTTGGCCCCCTTTTGTAAGTGAGTTTGACACTCCTGATCTAATGGTTCATAAATCACAGGTGAAGCGTCCATGCCCCTCTCAGGTGGGAGCTTTGAGCAAAAGAGGCGGAGCAGAACTCATCTGGGCTGAAAGAGAGCGCGATGCGTGTCGAATGTCTTCTTCGTGTTATTTACGAAACTTAACTGATGTAATCAATCCAATTTGTGGTAAACTATTTTTAAACTAACTACAAAGCTGCTGTGTGTCATCAACAAGATGCTCCCGGTAATAAATCTGTTTGTTGTTTAGTCCCGCTCGCCGCCAATCCGTTAACAGAACTCGCCGCTCAGCGGGAGAGAGAGTGAACCCCGTTTGACTCGTGTTTCTGCTAATTTAATTCTTATAATTAAACATGACTAACACCAAAACACAGATATTTATAGACCCCAGATTAAAGCAAAGATGTGTCTTAACTTTATTTCATTTTGCCCCAAACTCTAAAAGTTCTCTGTGACAGAGTCCCAGAGAGACCGTGTGAGCTGCAAAGCATGCTGGGTAGCCTTGAGGGCTGCATTTGTGTGTATGATGTTTCTGACGGTTTACGATGTTTCTGAC